GTTGAATTAGAAAATAATAAGTAAATAAATAAACAAATAAATAAAAATTGGTCCGGAAACGCAATGGAAGGCTGCAGGTCTGTTCATGGGCCGATTTAATATTAGCTTTTTTCCAAATTGGGCCTTTAAATTTATATGTCTTATTGATTTCATTTATTGTTCAAATTTCAAATGAAATATTTAATCCTGAATGGACAGATTTTAATTGAAACTAATCGATACCAGAATTTAATTAGGTCGAAATTATACGGCTTAAGCTGCATATCTACTAATTTTCTTCTTACAATGGTATATTCTAAACTCTAATTACTAAGATTTCATTTGATTCGATTAGTCGCGATTAATTACGTAATTTGGGCTTCGTTTGATGTCTGATGACGTCTAATAACTTTTCAGATCGACCCGCAGTTGTTGTGAAAGAAATAGTTCTAATCTTGGATAATTGAAAATTTATGTATTACCACCTTCTATGCCCCAACAATATAATTAGTTTTTTTTTTGTGAGATTATCTAATTTTATTTTGACTAGTTTTATCTCAGGAATCAAACGAGTTATAAGCAAATAAGAGAGTCCATCATATCATTCATTCTCGTCCGTTCGATCAACAACAAGCTCGTATGCAGAAATCTCATATTCCCCTAATCCCGTCGTAATAAAAGAGAAGAACGAATATCATATCGATTAAAAAAGATGTTGTCAGACTTAAGCGTATAGGAAAATTTTATGTCGTGTCGCATTGTATTTTTAACTTGTTTTATATAAAAGACTAACATCCATTTTAAATGTTTTTATTTTTTTTGTTCCCAATTTTGGACCATTTTTTGAGTAATTTGGTTGAGAATTATTACCAAGATTCTAAGAGAAATGTGGTTGGTAATCCACGGCTATTATTCATCCTTATAATTTATAAAGTCCATTTTTAATCTTACGGAATAATCCTCAAAACCAACCAGTGATTTATGTCCTTGCATTTGTGTAATGGTATTAATCATGCCACGTGGGCTTGCATCTACCCATCTTTTGTTTATGCCAATTGTACAAAAATTAGATACTACTCTATTTATTTTTTTCTAGAAAAAATCAATTTTTCTCATATTTGGCTAATAAAAGTATGCATAATCAAATGTAATTGGTCTGTATATGAGGGGTGTATTGGAGATATTAATATTAAATACATTTCACAAATAGCTTAAACTTTTGGTTGAGGTTGTCATTCAACACAAATAGAAGGGTATTTTCATAATTTAACTTTAGGGTAAATTACAAACACCCCCTGAGGTATGGTCAATTTACAAAAAAACCCTCTTGTTTGGATAATTACATCTACCCCCTCAACTATGAATTTTTCTTACACCTCCACCCTTATGGTGTCAAATTCAACATAATCATCTAGATTTCATGGAATGTGCTCTAGTTTGTACTCGTTTTGTGTAAAAATACAGTTTCTGATGCACCACAATCTGATATATACAAGCCAAAAAATACATATTATGATCATCTTACTTCGAAATGTAAATGTAGAGTTCGAACAGGATAAAACTGGTACGTAAGTGATAATATTCCATATAATCTCGAAAATTCCACTAAATTTTAAGGAGTTGAGGGGGTGGATGTAATTATCCAAACAAGAGGGAAATTTTCGTAATTTGACCATACCCCAGGGAGTGATTGTAATTTACTATATAAGGAGATTGCCGTAATTTGCCCTATTTTTTATTTATATTTGTAAACATCCATCTAACTATTCCTGGTCGTAATGTTCATTCCTAGTGAGTCTTGATTTTCACTCTTTTCAATTTTAATATTACGTTTGTTCAATTTTAGGGACAATATAAAACATTGAAAATGTGTTAATTAAAAAATAAATAGTTGAAAATTTGAAACAGAAATGTTTGAATTCTTTTGTCTTGACCGTTTGCTTACGAAGAATATTGACATATTCATCTTGCCCTTTTCTCACTAGTCATAAATTTCCAACCCAGTGTTTATGAAAAGTCCTTTTGACAATTTTAGATATAGATAGACATTAAAATAGTTGAATTCGTTGGTCAATATTACATATAGACGTGTAAGCAATTTTTTATTTTTATTTTTAGTAACAAAGAAATTCACGCCTAATCATACATGTCAAATCTGTAAATTTATAATCTCGAATAATGACTTGCAAATTATACGAGAGACGTAAAGTCGTGAACACATTAGGCTAACTATGTGTGACAAACTGCAGGGGCGGACTTAAGGGGTTTGGGGGGGGGGGGGGGATTAAAATGTATAAATTTAAATATTGGGTGGACCAAAATCTATAAATTAATAGATAAATACCAAAATAGAATAAAAAAAAATTAATAGAAAATTGCTAAAAGAATTTCTTTTGCAAGGATGGTAGCCTCCAAGGCTACACAGGGGTCCGCTCCTAACACTGTACTAATCGACCATCGGCAAGATAATTTGAATTTAGATCAGTCAACACAAACTCATTTGTTAAAGTGATAGATCATCATTTAGGGGACCTAAGCATATTGCACAATATATAAACTTAATCAAGTTTAAATTATTAATAAAAGGCATAGGTTTTAGAAATGCTAGTATTGATTTTATTACCTTTGCTCATATATAAATTGCTTTTCATTTATGTGATTATGAACAAACTTGTAGGTTTTGACTGAGAGAACAATAAACTTTACCTGGACCATATTTTTTTTGCTATGCCTGAATTAAACACACACACACACAAACAATTATTATTCAAAAATACGTTCTGAAACGCACAAATCGACCCCAATGTGCTGAAAAATGCATACGTCACCCCAGTGTGTTGAAAATCGCACAAATCTCCGTTCAAACGTGCTGAAAATTGACACATACATCACCCCAAAACACGTATAATAAATATCATATACGAGAGTGTGGTTTACATCTCTCGTATGGTTTGCAAGCTATTATACGAGAGTGTAGGTTTACCCAGTGCACCTATATGGTTGACTGCGGTTTCCTGCATTATCAAAAAAAAAAAAATAAAAAAAAAAAAATAAAATAAATATCATATCATATCGTATCGTAATATCGAAAGTATTTTACCAATATTTAACTACATTCAATGAAATTTAAAAAAAAAAAAAAAAAAAAAAAGACTACATACAATGTATACACCGAATCTACATTGTTTTAGGCTTTTAGCCTTACAAAAGCTAGCCTAAATAATAAAAATTAAATGAGGTCTTAAGTATAGAGGACAACACAAAGCTCATCATAACAAACCTACAGCCTACACGTACTCATACCCTAATAATCTAGCTTTGCAGATCCCACAAGCAAGTGCAACAACTTGGTTATTTGTGTATTTTTTTTATTTATATATATATATATATATATATATATATATATATATATATATATATATATATATTTTTCAATCAAAGTGGGCCCAGTTTGCTTACTCGAGTTCGATTCCTCTCGTCAACATTTTTTAGGTCGAACTCCTCAGACATAAATTGTAAACTATAGTTTGAACTTGTCAAGTAGTTTGCAGAGAAATGTAACAATAATGCAATATAATGTTACATATGTGATTTGTACCTCTGTTTAAAATAAAATATACTTTTTTTTTTTTTTTTCTAATAATTTTCTTATATTAAATTAATACCCCACTTCTAATTATCATTAAATTTACTAACTAACTACCCTCTTTATTATATTTCAGGTTGGTTGATCAGAGTACAAAAGGCCGAGACAGTGAGTATTGTGCCTAGCAATTAGGCAATAGTATCAAGAAAGATTTTGGTCAGAAATCATCATCAAAAATCTTATATTAGTCATTATTTAAATTTCAATATGTAATATTTTTTTTTAGTTTTTAACATTTATAATTTTAATATTTTATCTGGATTGGGGAGATTTTTTGTTCACTGTCTGAAGCAAAGTGAAGCACAGGAAAATATAAAAAAAAAAGGAACAAAACTAATTAATGAAATGCCACTCTGTTTATTGACCAATTGTATAAAGAAAGTCAGAAAATTGGTCCAAACTGGGAGTACCTTTCCTCTGTCTTTTTTCTCGTACTACAGATTAATATTACATTGGTCACGTGTTACAAAACGTGTGATTTTTCGTCTTTATTTCGAAGAATCTTATACAACATCTAGTTCCCAATAAAAATAAGTGTAAATTACAGTTACACCCCTAAGTTATGCTAACATAATTTTAAGGTTCACGTGGTATTGGAAATTACAGCGACACCAGTAAAGTAATTACCGGAGCCAAGATTTCATGTCCCGGGGTTCGATATACACTATATTTGTTACCCGCAGGGTCATTAATGTTGCCATAGACGAAAATCTATACATCTTATATAAAATAATAAGGATTTAAGAAACGTTGGGAGACATGTATGTCACACCCTACCTCTATGTTGTCTCCACCACTAAACTATAATAGTTCGTTATAACTCTAACGAAATAGCTTATCCAATGCATTTATTCCGTTATGATTTCTAACAATGTTTCAAGAGTGATTGTAATTATCAATACTATAGGGGCCTTAAAACCATTTTAGCATATCTCTGGATTGTAGATGTAACACCCTAAAGTACTATCGTTCAATAAAATTACTATTTTTCAACATTGTCTCCTTCGGTTCACCCATGAACCAGCGATGAGGCGGTCCGATCTGATATCTAAATCGGAAAAAAGACATTTTGGGGTCAAATGACATAAACCCAGTTTGACCAGATAAAACTATTCAAAGCACCGCGGAGTTGGCTATTTTTGGCTGAATTTGAGCGAACCTTTACGGAGTTAGTTGTGGGTGACCAGATCTGGTTATGTGTCGTCGAATAGAGGTGGTGGATTGCATGATCTCGAGAAGAAAGAATGGGAAAAAGTTCGAATTTTAATATAAAAACGGAAATATGGAGACGGATGCTTGATTTGTAAGAAAATAGAGAGCAATAAAAAGAGGGAAATAAAAGAAGAAATTGATAAAAGTTAACAAGGTTTGTGGAACGTTTAAAAATATAAAGAAAATAGTATTTTTAAACATGAAAATAATAAAACAATTAAAGAAAAATAAAAAAATTCAAATAAATTGTTTCGTCCCCATCAAACCGTGGCCCAAATGGTGGTCCGGTTCAATGGTCTGTTCGGTTCTGATATCACTGCAACTTTTTACCCATAAAATGCTACAAATTATAATATTGTTATTGTTGGATTAGACATGTAATATTTTGTTGAGAAATAAGATTTAATAATAGTTTTTAACAATTGAAGTAGTACATCTGTCAAATACAAGAAATCCAACATGCTAACTAATTAATTAATTTTTCAATAGAAAATTAATGTAAAAATATCGAATTTTATCCATGTGACCCGGTGATGCCAGAACAAGGTCAAATTGTATTAGTATTAGTATTAGAAATAATCAAATATATTTATTGCAGCTTTTAATTACTCAACATATTGGGATAGCTTGAAATGATAAAGCACCTGCTATAAGTTTCTTCAGGAGAAATAATTGATTAATTGAAAAAAAAAAATTAAATATTTATTACAGTGTCCCTTTCTATGAAAGAACTTTTTTATGTAAAAACTAGTAAATACTAAAAATGTCTCTCTCTTCAGATTCGAAAAATGCTTCATTTTATTTTATTTTATTTAATATATATAAACTAACATTAATAAATAAAATCCTACCACACTAAATTCCAATACTTCTCAACCCAGCCTATGGCCCCATTTCTGAAACCCTTCCTTTTATTTACACACAATCTTCAAGAAATCTTTTATTTTCTCTTTCTGTTTCTAACTATGCTTTCTTCTAATATTTTTAATATTTAGGGTAAATTACCGTCAACCCCCGAGGTAAGTTTAAATTACAAAAATACCCTCATGTTTGGATAATTATAACCACCATCTCAACTATGAATCTTCTTACACGTCTATCCTGATATTGTCAAATTCAACAGAATCTTCTACATCCCGTCGAATGTCCTCTAGTTTATCCTCGTTTTGTGCAAAAAATGCAATTTATGTTGCCCCACAGTATGATATTTACAAGCTAAGAGACACATCTTATGATCATCTTGTTTCAAAATGTGGAGCTCGAATGCGGTAAAACAGGTACAAACTGAAGAATATTCTACTAAACTTGACACCGTGAGGGTGGACGTGTAAGAAGACTCATATTTGAGAGATGGCAGTAATAACCAAAACAAGAAGGGTTTTTTTTCGTAATTTAACCTTACTTCAGGAGAATTGCTGCAATTTACCCTTTCCCTTATACACTCGTAATTATTTATAAAATAATCCAAGTGACAAAATTGTATTTACCTAAATAAAATGATTATTTTATTCACATTTACCTAATTTTCATTTTTTTTTTTATAGTCTTGCCAGCCCAGAGCCAACCTCACCAGCAGCCTTTCCTTCCCCTAAACATAGCCACACACACCACATTAAGCCCATTTTAATTAGTTAATTTTCCGTTCACAATTATTATTATATTATTTAATTAATGATTACACTAATCATATTAGATCAATTCCATTCCGTTATTTATTTATTCTCAATTCCTTTCCTACTAAAACCATAAATTTCTTTCCTCTCATAATTTCGAAAATACCACATTACAAAAGATTTCAAGATTTTCATAATCCCTCATATTTTTCTTTCTTCTATAAATCCCCGCAGAATTCATCGCTACCTTCTTCATTATCACCCCTCCTTCCTTTCTTGACCAAATACCAACAATCAATCCCTAATATATATATACATATATACATACACCATCTTAATTGTATTTCATTTGATTAAGGATGAAGGAGATTTGGACAACCATGGCGTCGATGATGGGTGTGTGGGCTTTCTGCCAGAGCCTGCTGCACACGGTGTTCCCGCCGGAGCTCCGTTTTGCTTTCTTGAAATTCTTCCACCGCTTCTTCAGCTACTTCTCCACCTACTGCTACTACGACATAACGGAGATCGACGGCGTCAACACCAACGAGCTCTACAACGCCGTCCAGCTCTACCTGAGCTCCTCCGCCTCAATCTCCGGCAGCCGCCTCAGCCTCACCCGGGGACTCAACTCCTCATCCATCACCTACGGCCTCTCCAACAACGACCGACTCATCGACTCATACCGCGGCGCCTCCGTCGAGTGGGAGCACATCGTCACCCAGCGCCAGTCGCAGACTTTTTCGTGGCGGCCACTCCCGGAGGAGAAGCGTGGCTTCACTCTCCGGGTCAGGAAAAAGAACAAACAGTTGGTGCTCAGCTCTTACCTCGACTACGTAATGGAGAAGGCCAACGAGCTCCGCCGCAAAAACCAGGATCGGCTGCTCTACACCAACTCCAGAGGCGGATCTCTCGACTCCAGAGGCCACCCATGGGAATCTGTGCCGTTCAAGCACCCCAGCACCTTCGACACATTGGCCATGGATCCTTCCAAAAAAGCTGAAATCATGGCGGATCTTCTCGATTTCGCCAATGGCGAATCTTTTTATCAGAAAACCGGCCGCGCGTGGAAGAGAGGATACCTGCTGTACGGACCGCCGGGCACCGGCAAATCCAGCATGATCGCCGCCATGGCCAACTACCTCGGCTACGATATTTACGATCTCGAGTTGACCGAAGTCAACACCAATTCCGAGTTGCGCAAATTGCTGATGAAGACGAGTTCCAAATCGATTATTGTTATCGAGGATATTGATTGCTCAATTAATTTAACCAATAGGAACAAGAGCGGCGGAGGCGGCGGCGGCGCCGCCGCGAGGAAGAACAGCTACGATATCGGATCGCCGCCTGGCGGCGGCGGCGCCGCCGGCGGCGGCGAGGAGGGGGGAAACACGATAACGCTGTCCGGATTGTTGAATTTCACGGACGGATTGTGGTCGTGCTGCGGTAGTGAGAGAATATTCGTGTTCACGACGAACCATATCGAGAAGCTGGATCCGGCGCTGCTGAGGAGCGGGAGGATGGACATGCACATAAACATGAGCTACTGTTCGTTCCAATCGCTGAAGATTCTGCTGAAGAATTACCTAGGGTTTGAGGAGAGCGGGTTGAGGGAGGGTGTGCTGGCGGAGCTGGAGGCGGTGGTGGCGGCGGCGGAGATGACTCCGGCGGATATAAGTGAGGTACTGATTAAGAACCGGCGGGATAAGAACAAGGCGGTTGAGGAATTGGTGGAGGCGCTGAAAATTAGGGCTGAGAAGAATCGATTGAAGAAGACGAATGTGGTGGTGGTGATTGGAAACGACGTCGTTGTTGAAGATGAAGAGCAGGAGAAGAGGGCTTTGGAATATCCCAAGGAAAATGGGTCCCACCTAAATTGCGGCAAATGTGGGGTAAAGGAGGAGGAGAATCATATTGAAGAAGGTGAAGAAGGGAAAATGAAGGAGTAATAATTAATTAATTAATTATTATTATTATTATTAATTTTTTTTTTTTTTTTTTTTTTTAACCAAAGGTCCTTAAAATTAATTAACCGAGTTGTATGAAATTTGGCAATGAAAAAAGAAGAACAGAAGTACTAATATTTAATGTAAGACAACTCGATCCCATTTTGTTTTTTGGTATTCTTGATAATGAAATTGTTATGTTTTTAAGTACTACCTAATTTCTAAATGCAAGAATGGTTTTTTTTTTTTTTATTTATTTATTTTGTGTCCTAACATAAGTTCGATTAGCATGTGGTTTTGTTGTTCTAGTTTTGATGAGTTGTATTGCAATGCTAGCTAAATTATATGGAATTCTGCTTAAAAGTTTGTTTGCAATTTGCACTAATTGGAGAGGAGTTGTAATATCTTTGATTTTGGGATTTTTGATGTGAAATTGCTATTAGAAAAATAAAAATTGAAAAGAAATGCATTTATAATCACTTGAGTTTTGACACAACCAAATTTTGATTTTGCCTACTATATCTTTGGGTTCTTTTTGTCAAATAAAAGTTGATGTTATTTTGGTTGTCAAATTTGAACAGTTAATGACTATTGACCAATGACCGCGTTAGTCAAACAGTAGCGGCAAATTACGGTCACTTTTGATGTATGACCAAATTACGAAAAAATCCCCTCTTATTTGGATTATTACTGTCCTCTTTTTTTAAATATCTTTATAAAATTTATGTAATTCGTTTATCTACCGAACCAAATTGTATATTTAGTTCGGTAAATGATATGAAATGTTACCGCACCGAAATTTCGTTTCTGTTTTATTGAATTAACATACCTAAATTTACCTCTGGAGGGATTTTTTATAAGATAATACATAATTGAGGAGTGGCTGTAATTATCCAAACAGAAAGGGGTTTTTTCTTAATTTGACCATGACTCAGGGGTGACTGTAATTTGATCATATGATAATGATGATTCATTTTCGAAGTTATTTTATATAGAAAGAAAGAAAATCTATTAAATGTCCTTAATTTTAATTAAAAAATCGAATGTTTACAATTTATACAACCCGAAGCATTAATTGATATGATAATCCTCTGTCTAATCACATGTTTATTGTTCTCTATGATTTATGGTATCAGATAAATTTGGTAAAAAGATAATTCATATGATATAATGCATTGAATTTTCGAAATGATTATTGATATGAGATTGTGTTTTTTTTTTCTTTTCTTTTTGCTAAGAAATAAATAAATGGCACGGGCCACGGAGGAAGCCCGATTTTGTAGATGCTACACCCGGAAAAATACATCTGGCGATCTTAAACCATTGATCTATATACAATATCACACTCGCGTGTACGTGTGTTTAATGGGTGATTATTTGTATAGATTTACAAATTAAAATCAGCTGGTATTTTACATCAGGTATAGCATCTCATAGACCGAGAAAATACCATTTAATTTCATATATATATATATATATATATATATATATATATATATATATATATATATATATATATATATCTCACTTTTTCTATACATATTAAGTATATGATTACAATAATATTAATTCTTTAAAAAATTACATTACCTACACATAATTATATAACAATAAAATATACTTTTATATCTAGTAAAAACATCCTAAAAAATGTTCGAACATGGGAATGAAACAAAACAGCGCAAATATATGTAAGCAGAAAATGACCTAATTAATACGGCTGATTTTTTGGAATTCTTATGCTAAAGACTAATTTTATTGCTGATGTCAATCATTAATTAACTTTAAAATTTGACAAAAAAAAATAAAAAATAATAATCTACAATATTTTAACTAGAGCTTGACCATGACATTTATAGGCCAACAATAATTAAAACACGAAGTTCAACGGTTAAAGTTCGATCCCCATATCAGTGAAAACGAGTATAGAGCCAGGGGGGCTATGCCCCCGAATATTTCTCAAATCCCTATTATTTTATGTAAAAATATTAAAAACTGTACGGAAGCATAACCGCCTCCCTCATAATTTTTTTAATTCATTTAGTCCTCTCGCACTTGAAATTCTGGTTGTGCTAATGCGCTATATTATTTTAGATCGAATTCATTGCACACGATTTGTTTACACCTCTCGTATTATTTGCGAACTACTGCAGCAGGAGATCAGTATTTACTATTTACTATTTAAATTTATTAATTCCTTTTGAAATTTAAATCAAAATTGGGAGGTACTTCAAGTGGATAATGGAGAGCAAAATACAACAAAAAAAAAAAAAAGAAAAGAAAAAGAAAAAGAAACACTGAGGAAACAGCTCAACAAAACTGAAGATCTTATGTTGGAATAAAGAAAGATTTTATTATATAAATTGACAATAAGAAAGTAGACAACTTTTTAGTGTGCTTTTGTCTTGATTTTATATTTACTGAGTTGGAAAGGCAGATTTGCCTTTTCTTTATTTTAATTATTTATTTATTCTAGCCTAGGGTTTTGTAGATTAGTTCTTATCCTACGTGGAGACAGCAACTACTACATTGTCAAATGTTGTAATAATTAATTAATTTTGTTGATTATTTAATTAAACTTAAAATATTAAAATTAAATAAAAAAATCATGTTGTGACTGTGTGTGGCGCTTGGGGAATTATTTTTTGAACAAACTTTTGATTCGTCATGGTTTTTATGTTATAAATAATAGTGTCGAGTGCTGTGGTGTTGATGTTTTCCACAACTTGTTTATATATTTTAATTAATAACTCCTAATTTATTTTGTCTTTTATTTAAAAAAAATTAGGTAATTGATTTGTTTTGTAGTTGGTTGATATATACCATTAGCCACGTTCATCTATTTTATGAACTACTTTTTTCTTTTGGTGCAGTTTTCCACTTCATGACAAGCCAAAGCAATTAGGACTAATTGATGACACACTTACAATTCTCTTTCTTTTTATTTAATAAATTAAATTGAATAGTTGAGTTTTATCTAATTTGAAATGTTAAATGTCGTTTCAGTTTTACTGATATCGTGATTTTGAACTTTTTCTAGTCTGATTTTGGTAAAATTCAAAACACAAAAGATGTAATCATTTGAAATAGCTTTCTAATCCATTTTGAATATGTGTTTGGTTAGATGTCGGGTGATAATATTATACATGAATGAGTTACATTTTAACTTTTAGATAACTCAAAATATTAAAGTTGTGAGAATCTTCATTGATTCATGCATATCTTTCTCATCCGAGATCCAATCTTTGTTATTCAGTTTCGATTGGAAAAATAACTCAAAAAAATACAAATTCTATTTGAGTTTTGTCTAATTCTGCCTCGAAAATAGTCAAATTCACATTCAAAATCTTAAAATATTATTAAAACTGAAACGTCATTTATCACATCCCTCTCTATCTAATAAGATCCATTCTTAAAGTGGGTGATTTTATCCGAGTTCACCCTTTTTATTCTAGAATTCGTTGAGGTGGCTCAGTATGGTGAATCAATCGTCAAGATAAATTGTGAGTAATTAAATTAATTATTTTTTATTTAGCATTTGATTATGCTAATAACTTTTGATTTGACACGATTCCAAAACTTCGAACTTGATTGAAAATTTTGGGATTGATAAATCATTATCTTGACTTGTTAAAAAATGTGCATAATCTAACCATACATTTGAGTCTTCATATATAGTATATATTTATCATTGATATAATTTACATAATGATGTAGTAGGTTGTATTAAAAATATTATATTGTGTGATGTGGTCGGTGTATAGTATAGTTAAACCTATACAAATTAATATAGTTGAAACAATAAGAAAACTTATTAATTAGTGAAATATTAAATTATCAAATTAATAATTTAGTATGTTGTCATCGAGTCAGAATCAGGATAAATTATTATTTAAACGGGATTATTAGTTTATCGAGTAATAATTTTTCGAAGTTCTATAGTATATCTAACTCATGTAGAATATTCTTAGAACACACACGTGATATCTCAAATTATGTGTAATTTGCTATTTGCTATTTTAGAAATTATGTTTTTCGAAATTCTGATATCCGAATTTCTTGATTGTACGTTTTTAACGGAATTTGATTTTGTTTTAAAAGTATTAATTACGGTCCAACCAGTCCGATTCCACCGCTAACCCTAATAAAATTTTACGTGGGTTAGATTATATTTATAGTAAATTATGGCCCTAAATATAGTTTAAAGTTCATCCTGGAATATATATTACCAGGAGGAAAGATTGAATTACGAAAAAATTTCTTTACTATGTATTGTCCTAGTTATAATTATTCAAATTATAATTTTTTTTTTTCTCGTAATTTGATTTGACCCCGGACGAGGCCCTAATTTGGACATTAATTAAAGCAACGGGGCCATGTAAGATATACCAAAAGCACAAATATTTTCATGATTATGTATCAGAAATTATATCTATGTTTTGCATCCTTTAAAATTAAATAATTCGTTTTAATTGTCTCGTCGTTGCTCCATTATTTATTCAAGATGATAATGTTTTTTTTTTTTTTTAATAATATATTAATAATCATTTTGTACTTGAAGAAATTGAATTAATTTGTCTAGTTCTGACTATTAAGTCAAAGGGTGTTGGATATCACCGTATATATCTAGTCCCAAAGCACCAAAAATTTCTCACTATTTTATGATGATGTGAATATGATTAGATGTACTTCCATCATCACTATTGAGAGGATACTTTTGATTAAAATTTTACAATAATAAAAATAACTTAAAAATTTTAATTCAAATACTTTAACAATTAATTCTAAAATAAAATATAATAACTTATCAGCTCTTAAAACAATTTATATGACGTAAAAGCTTGTCAACTGTTTAAAGTAAGTTTGAACGGACGAAATCTAAATGATTGATTTGGAGACTCTTATTTGTAGAAATTGGAGAAGGTAAATAACTAGATATTTCTGAATTGGTTTTCAAATGCATCAAATTAGGCTTTTCTTTGCATAATGGCACAAAGATACGGCTCCTTCGATCCTACACCCGGTGATAAACATTGGGTGGATCTTCTGCTGCCATGTGTCCCTTTTTTTTATTTTTCTAAAACCCCTAAAGGTAAACCCTAGCGGGGAATATATTATAAAATACAAAAAAGAGACACGTGGCAGCAGAAGACCCACCCGGTGTTTATCACCGGGTGTAGGGTCGAACAAATCCAAAGATACTTTAAAGTTTA